TTTTTTTTTTTCAGTACTGGGGATTGAACAAGGGTCTTGCACATGTTAGACAAGCACTGTACTTCTGAATTATATCTCCAGCCATGTGTTTATGATATGAATAGTATGTACCTAATATCCAACTTACAAGCCTGAATGTCACTGATACATTGCAGTTATTTGCCTCTCCCCAGTCTCATTGCCTGCTCTCTCAAAGGTATCCACTATGTTAGTCAGCTTTTCATCACTATAAAAAGTACCTGAGTTAATCAACTTATAAAGAAAAAAGGTTTGTTTGGGCTTTCAGTTTTGCAGATGTCATTTCATGAACAATTGGTCCTGTTGTTTTGGGCCTGTGGTGCACATCATGGTGACAGTGCATGGTAGAGCACATCAACTCACCTCATGCGTGAGAAGCCAAAAAGAGGAAGGAGAAATGCAGATGAGCTCCCCTCCATCCCCTTCAAGGACACACCCACAATGACCAGAAGACTTCCCACTAGGCTCCCTCTTAAAGGGTCCACCACCTTCCAATAGTGCCATGCTGTGGACCAAGTTTTTATACCATATGGACATTTTGGGGCTTTTAAGATCAAAGCTAAGCCAGACACAATAGTGCATGCCTGTAATCCCAGCAATTTGGGAGGCTGAGGCAGGAGGATCACAAGTTCAAGGCTAGCCTGAGCAACTTAATGAGACCCTCAGCAACTTAGCAAAACCCTGTCTCAAAGTAAAAAAACAAACAAACAACAACAACAAAAAAAAAACTTGGGGATGTAATGTAGCTCAGTGGTAGAGCATTCAATCCCCAGTATAATGGGAGGGGGTTAAAAATATACAAGCTGTATATTACTATTCTGAATTATTATTTCTTTACTTTTTACAAATTAAGGTTTTACCAAATATCTGTGTATCTTAATTAATACATTGCTTAGTTTTGCTTGTTTTCTTAATATTTATTTGCTTATTATTTTTGTCAAATTATCCTAGAAGATGGAATGGTTATAAATTCTTTCTTTATTTGAGCTAGTTATATGTGAATGTATGTCAGACTTTGGGAGAAAGCAGAATTTGGGAGGAATATCTATACCTGGTTAAGTAGTCTGTACATCTATAACCAATCTATATATCTACAATAAATGGAGGCCAGAAGCTTACTGAGAAAATGAGACTAATGCTGTCATTTAGTTGCTCTGATGGTACCTGGTTTGTTGACATGTTGTAAGTTGGGTAAATATCAATTATAAATAACCAGCTCAGGCACACACATGCCATATTTATCTCATGGTTCGTGCTTTATAAATAGCACTGACATTGTAAGTATTGATGGTGTTTATGACACTAATGGCTCTACTAGGTAATGATTACGTGGTTGGACTCTGAGACAGATTTCTTAGGTCTGAGTCAATGCTCCATAATTTAATTGCTGCTTGCCTTTGAGCCTTGAATTCTTTGTGAGTATATGGGAATGGTAATTGTACCTCCCTAGTAGGGTCACAGGCAATAACTTTTAGCTATGATTATGAATGTTGCAGATGTCATCTGATATAAGAGTGTAAATAAATGTGACATGAAGCATATAATCTAGTCCAAAGAAAAGTTGTTAGACTAAGCTGGTTTCTTTTTGCTTGGTCACCGGACCTCAGGAAAGACACTTCAGCTTTTAGAGGTTTAGTTTCTTCCTCTGTAAAATGTGTTTATTATGAAGATAAGAATATATGAGTGCCTGTTTGGAGGGTGATATACAGTACATGGTCAGCAATAATACTGTTATTGATCTTAGGGTTCATGGGTTTGCTTAATAGCTCAGTGATATACCTGGGTCCTCAGTATTAAAAGTTAACACTGAGATGCTGTTTGCTTTAAATAGGACTCAGAATTTTAATATGATTCTAGGGGGTTGGATCAATCTGGAACTAAATTAAGTTGGTTGATTAACATTTGGAGTAGTTATTACAAATGTAATCTAAGCCTCTGAAACCGTTTTATATGGTATTTTTCCTTAGTAAGAACAAAATTTGTAATAGACTATCTTTTATAGAGCAGTTATAGATCATGAGCAAAATTGAATGGAAAGTACAGAGTGTTCCCTATCCCACACCAGCACAGCTTCCCTCCTATGGACATTCCCCACCAGAATGATACAAAGTGGTGCATCTGTTACAATCAATGCACCAACACTGAAACGTCATTATCACCCAAGGCCCACACTTTGCATCTGGGCTCACTTTTGGTTGTACAGTCAGTGGATTAGGACAAATGTATAATGGCACATATACACCACTATAGAACGACACAGAATAGTTTCACTGCTTAAACATCCTCTGTGTTCCAACTATTCATCCTGCCTTCCCTTTCAACCCTTGGCAGCCACTGATCCTTTTACCGTCTCTTGTAGTATTGCCTTTTCTGTGTTAAAAGACAAAATTATGACAACAAATTTAAAGGTTCAGTGAGCTTTTATTCACAATTTATGAACCAGAACCACCTCCATTCTCTAAAAAGGAATGAGACCTCCCACTCATTGGCGGAACAGTAGGAGGATTTAAGATGACAACAGGCAAACAGATAATAGAAAAAGAAAATGTTTGGTTCCTTTTCTTTTAAGAGTTAAAGCAGAGAGGACTTCTTTATTACACTAAATTCCGTGAACCGGAATACCCTGTTTTTAGAAAAACCTGGTCTGTTTGGGGATCTACCTGCTTCCTTAAAGTTTGTTTGATTATATGGCATTTCACATGAGTGATGCCATTTTGGTCTGGTCTGGTCTGCTCTGTTGGGGCCTAGGGCAGGAGCTCAGTCCCAGACAGATTTTTGTTGAAAAATGTCATGTATTTGCAATTATACAGTATGAAGATTTCTCAGATTGGGTTCTCTCAAGTCAGAGAAACATTTTAACCTGTATATTCTGTTTGTATATGAAAAAATGTACCTAGAAAGATTGCCCTCTTGAACTGAACATGCAGCTTCCTCCGAGGACCTGGAAGACAGGATGGGGACTTGAGGTTTGCCAGCCAGATGGCCAGCCAGCCCTGGGCCTGTTGTGTTGAGGTGTTGTGGCAGAGTTGCTCTCACACTTTCCTTCTCATGATATTTTTAACTGTATTGGACTAAGTCCACAATGTAGAGTTATAAATAGGGGTCTGGTAGAGACACATGGCTAAGTTAACAATCAAGTGCCTCTTCAAACCTGTGTCCTTAAATATTTGTTCCATGTTTATTCATTGGAGAGGCTGAGTCCTGTGTGTGGGGTGAGAAGGAAAAGAGGCAAGTTAGTTGGGCCTGACCCACACTTTTTAACAGAATAAAACCTTACCATTGACCAGTACTTAAAAATCAGTTTGATAGCCAGGTGCGGTGGCAGAGGCCTGTAATCCCTGTGATTTGGGGGGCTGAGGCAGGAGGATCTCAAGTTCAAAGCCAGGCTCAGCAACTTAGTGAGGTCCTAAGCAACTTAGTGAGACCCTATCTTAAAAAAAAAAAAAGATAAATAAATAAATAAATAAAAAGGCTCAATGGTTGAGTGCCCCTGGATTTAATCCCTGCTACCAAAAAAAGAAAAATCAGTTTGATAATTACCAGTTGTTATTGAATCTCATTATTTACTCTCTCTCCTATAGGTTATAGAAACATTTCTTGCAGTTAGGAGAAGTTTGTGGCTGACTGCTCCTATCTTGATCTTGATACACACACACTCAGTGATGCTCTAGTGCCTCTGACAGATTGGTGTCCAGGACAGCTGTCAGCTGGCCACTGCTACCCTCACCGGGTCATTTAGCTCTTACGTTTGTGGAACCTAGACAAAGTTGGTTTTTCCTCCATTTGGAGTTGTATTCCCTAAGTTAATAACCCCTGACCCTGTCCATGATGACGGGGGGAGTCCCCCTCCCTGTGCCCACACAGCTTTCTTCTCTGCAGCCATAGTGATGTTCACAGACAAACTGAAAAGCTTCACTTACTACTGTCTGTTCTGCTGTATGCCTGGGAGCCCTTTTATGAAAGGTCAAAGGTGGAAAATGAGTAGGGAAAGAATGATATGGAGATTATGAAATGGAGGACTTGGGGCTAGATACTCAACTGAATCAAGATATGTGAGGAGGCTAGTCTTGGGCAAGGGATGGCCAGTGTTTTCAGTAAAGTGCTGGATAATAAACATTTTTTTACTTTGGAGGCCATATAGTCTCTGACACCTCTACTTGGCTCTGCCACTGCAGCATGAAACAATCGTATATAATATGTAAAGGCATAGGCATGTCTGAGTGCCAATGAAACTTTCATTTATGGACATATATCCATTCTTAGCTTGCTGGCCACACAAAAACAGACAGGGAGCTGCATTTGGCTGGTGGGTAGGAGTTTGCATATCTGATCAAGGATAATATATATAGGAAACCTTCTGTTTGTAAGTTTATCTGTATGTGTGCTGTGTGTTCTCTATAGACATCATTTGTGTGCCATTTAGTAAAGTTAATGAAAAAATTAACTTTGGAAATAATAAAGGAAACCAGAGAATGGGAGTTTTACTGACCTTTGGGCAGTAGAAGAGAAGTGTGCCCCCTGGAGGCCAGCGAGGAAGTGGCAGCAACAAGCAAAGCGAACTAAAAGGCCTGAGAGTCCTGGCTATTATCAAAACTGTCTTTCAGTCTCTACCAATACTTTAGAGGTTTTGTCAGATTTTAACAAATGCTACCAAACTTAGTCTCCACACGTTCTTTGATAATTAAACCATATTATTTATATCTCATAACGTTTCCATTTTTAGGTGTTTTGTTGGAATTTTTTTCCTCCACATCTTTCATTGTTAACGATCTGACCTTTTTGTGCTCTTAGGCCAAGAGCTCATTAATTTTTAGGTGATCAATAACTGTTGTTAGAAATTTGTTTTATTGATTTATTTTTATATACTTAGCTGTCTACAATAATTTTTATCTTTTGTCAACAGGATCCTTACTATGGATTTAATGACCTTAACTACAGATGGATTTCCTTGGATAACTGGATTTATAGCAAGGAATTTAAAATTCCTTTTGATAGCAGGTACATACACAATAGTTATTTGTACATATACTATAGTTATTATTTGAGCTTTCTTTTACCTTTGCTTAGGTTTCATATCAGAGATTTAAGTCAGATTAAAGCCTTTTACTATAATAAGAGTGAATGTGTGATTAATGTTTTGTGTTTGCCACTGATCATTAATCATGAAATCATGTTTTATGGAATCATTTGTCCAATGATTATAATGAAATTACTTAGACCTCGTCAGTTCTCCTATGTAAATTTCCTCTTCTCCACCCTCTCCCCAGTAACCAATAAGTGTATGTATGCATTTTATAGCATTGTTAAATAGAATCAGAGATACTTGATTTTGTTCTGTGTGGTGCTGACCAGCTACTGAGACTATGACCTTGGACTTATGCCATGTTATGAGGCCATGAAGAGAACTACAGTTACTATTTTCAGTAATGCTCTGTGTTATTATAAGCATATATTTCTATATAAAGAAGAATGTAATTTAAGTATATATAACACCATTAGTATTAAATTTAAAAAATTTTCTGTCCCCTTTATATGAAATTTTTTGGTAATTATTTTCTAGTCTCTTAAAAAACTAATTCAGAACTTAGTATCATGCTTAGTATCATGGAGTTAACTAGGCTCCAGGCTTTTATTTTCAAATGACTTATAACACTTCCCGAGCAGTCTTATTTCACTTTGAGCTTTATTTACATATCCAAAATCCAATCAACTGATATTCCCTCTTAAAAAACTTTTTTATGTCCTAATGGCTTTGTCATTTCTCTTAATGAAGCACCGTTTTCCAGTCAGAGCCTAAATTGTTTCTGGCTCTACTACATAGTAGGATAGATTGGAAGTTTTTGTTTCCTGTGTATTTGGCTTGAATACTAGCCAGCTTTCATACTCCTTAAGTTCAGAGCATGTTCCTGCGAGGCTTAGCATAGTACTGGGCACATAGCATTCACTTAGAGATACAAGTTAGTAGCTAATACATTCTCTTAGATAGTGTCAGTGAATGTAATAGTTTGTGAAAATGTTTTGTGTCTATTATTTAACTTGATTCTCATAAGAACTTTGTGAAGTAACTGAAAGAAAAAACGATGCAATTGGAAATTATAAGTTGTGCTGGATTTTATGGTGATTGATAGATATATTATAGAGAATGATGAGCTGGATTACTCAAAAAATAGCAACAAATATTAAACAAAAATAGCAATAAATATTAAACAAATATTCCTGAAACTTCTGTTGAAAATTACTGTTTAAGAATGTACATTTTCTGTGAAATATTTCTTTAGTTCTTAATTACAAAAAGACTTTTGTAAGTTGATGTTTCTGCATCTTGCTTTCAAAATGTTTTATTTTCCTAGCAAATGGCAAATGATAAATTTGATATTTGAGGGAGTTGATACAGTTTCAGAAATCCTGTTGAATAATGTAACTATTGGGAAAACTGACAACATGTTCACCAAATACGTAAGTACATAATGATATCAGGTTAAAAAAAAATTCATGTGTGTTTATGTTGTTTTGTGGATAGAGAAAGGCAAGTGCATAACTGGCCATGAGACAAATGTAAGCTTTTTGCAACAAGGAGTAAGTTACTGTGTTTCTCAGTTGCCCCATTTGTAGAGTCATGAAAACACTACAGATCATGGGGATTTAATAAGCAAATTATGAGATGGTTGGCAAGTTCTTGATATCTAGGAAGTGTGGGACAGTGCTATTCTCTTCTTTGTTGTCCGGTGAGCCAGAGTTGCACGGGAGAGGACAACTGACAAATTATTTTCAAAAGAAAATGTTTTCTTTCTGGAATAGAGTAAGAGATCGTATCCTGATCTCCTTTTCCTTTCAAGGGTAGGCATTTCAAATATATATATAACTATGACTTAGAAATACATGCTATGCATTCCAGAGAGTTGGGTTGTCGTGATGTGTCTAGGAATCCTTGGCAGTTCAAGGCCACGTGCAAATAGCTAGAGCAGACATTCCAGGGCTAAAGATACTTTCTGTTCTATTTCCCTGGACCATCATCTGTCAGTAAAAATAGAAGGAGAAACCTAGAAATCTGTGTTTGGGTGGGGGAATATGCTTAGTTGTAATTAAAAGTGGGTAACTAAGTTCTGCTATTTTGGAGAGCTGCTTTTCATTGGCAGGGTAACTCTAGATTTGAATATTTTATACATTTTTCATATATTCTACCTTTATCTAAAATTTTACACACAAGAATTCTTGCACATCATGGGGTTATCTGTTCTTCCCCTTTAATACAGATCTTTGATATTACCAATGTGATCAGAGACGTGAACTCCATTGAGCTGCGTTTCCAGTCAGCAGTGTTGTACGCCACAAAACAGAGCAAAGCTTACACTAGCCGTGAGGTGCCTCCCAACTGCCCTCCACGTGTGCAGAAGGGTGAATGCCACGTCAACTTCATTCGAAAGGTAACGATCTGTTCAAGGGATAGGTTTTTAGCTTTGAAGGTGGGGTGTGCCCACTTATGAAATGCTGCTTGCTTGAAACTCCAGTGGCCTTTCAAAAGTTGAAAGTTTCTTTCCTGACCCCATGGTGGGTCTTGAAAATTTGAAATAAGGAAGAGTATCTGGATTTTCATGGGGAATCTTTATCTTCCCAGGTTTTCTTCCTGACCACATCAGAACTTAGGGAACACCAGATAAAGAAGAAAATGATGAGGCTGATAGTGTAACTTTAAAAATTATTTTTTAAAATTTGGATTTGTCAGACTTTTCACCAAATATGAAAATTTATTAGTGATTCTGGGGATTGGCAACCTTCAGCAAATATAACATATATTTAAAAAATATATGTAGTATGTATGCTGACATGTTCTCATATTTTACTATTAGTTTCTCATAAAATCTAATAAAAAGATAATAAAAGCCACCAAATTAATTATTTTTGTTTGAGTCTTCTTCCAGTTTAGAGGACTTGAATTTTGTTTATTTATTTTAAATTTTTTATTTGTTTTAATTAGTTTTACATGACAGTAAAATGTATTTATGCACTTTGATATATCATACTTAGATGGGATGTGGATTTCTCATTTTTTTTGAGTGTAATATGTTGCAGAATCATATTGGTCATGCAGTCACATATACACATACAATAATAATGTCTGTTTCATTTTACAATCTTTCCTATCCCCACATCTGCTCCCCTTCCCTCCCATCACTTCGCTCTACCTAATATAAGGTAAAGCTATTCTTCTCTAGTGCCCCCCCCGCCTTATTGTGAATTAGCATCTGCATATTAGAGAAATCATTCAGCCTTTGGTTTTGTGGGATTGACGTACTTCGCTTAGCATGATATTTTCCAACTCCAACAATTTACTGGCAAATAATTTTACTCTTCTTTAAAGCTGAATAATAGTCCATTGAGTATATATACCACATTTTCTTTATCCATTCATCTATTGAGGGACACCTAGGTTGGTTTTACAGTCTAGCTATTGTAAATTTATTAATTCTTGATTTTTCTTCTTGTTTTTTAGGACTCTTGTTAAGGAAGAGACATCCTAGGCTGACATAGTATAGATTTGGGCCTATTTTTTCTTCTATTAGGTGCAGGGTCTCCATTCTAGTGCCTGAGTCTTTGATCCACTTTGAGTTGATTTTTGTGCAGGGTGAGAGATAGAGGTTTAATTTCATTTTGTTTTATTTTGCTACATATGGATTTCCAGTTTTGCCAGCACCATTTGTTGAATAGGCTATCTTTTCTCCAGTAAATGTTTTTGGCACCCTTGTCTAGTATGAGATAACCGTATTTATGTGGGTTTGTCTTTGCATCCTCTATTCTGTACCATTGGTCTACAAGTCTATTTTGGTGCCAATACCATGCCATTTTTGTTATTATTGCTCTGTAGTATGGTTTAAGGTCTGGTATAGTAATGCCACCTGCTTTACTCTTCTTGCTAAGGATTGCTTTAGCTATTCTAGGTTTCTTATTTTTCCAGATGAATTTCATGACTGCTTTTTCTATTTCTATGAGGAATGTCAATGAGACTTTTATTGGAATTGCATTAAATTTGTATAGTGCTTTTGGTAGTATGGTCATTTTGACAACATTAATTCTGCCTATCCAAGAACAACGGAGATCTTTCCATCTTCTAAGGTCTTCTTTAATTTCTTTCTTTAGTGTTCTGTAGTTTTTGTCGTAGACGTCTTTCACCTCTTTCATTAAGTTGATTCCCAAGGTTTTTTCTTTTCTTTCCTTTTCTTTCTTTCTTTTTTTTTTTTTTTTTTTTTTTGAGGCTATTGTAAATGGTTTAGTTTTCCTCATTTCCCTTTCAGAGGATTTGTCACTGATATACAGAAATGCCTTTGATTCATGGCTGTTGATTTCATATCCTGCTACTTTGCTGAATTCATTTATTAGTTCTAGAAGTTTTCTGTAGAGTGTTTTGGGTCTTCTAAGTATAGAATCATATTGTCAATAAATAGTGCTAATTTGAGTTCTTCTTTTCCTATCTGTATCTCTTTAGTTTCTTTCATCTCTCTAATTGCTCAGGCTAGTGTTAAATAGAAGTGGTGAATAAGTACTAGTCTTGTTCCCATTTTTAGAGGGAATGCTTTCAACTTTTCTCCATTTAGAATGATGTTGGCCTGGGGCTTAGCATAGATAGCTTTTACAATGTTGAGATATTTTCCTGTTATCCCTAGTTTTTCTAGTGTTTTGAACATGAAGGGGTACTGTATTTTGTTGATGATCATATGGTTCTTATCTTTAAGACTATTGATGTGATGAATTATATTTATTGATTTCCGTATATTGAACCAACCTTGCACCCCTGGGAGGGTGCGCTATCTTTTTGATATGTTTTTGTATTTGATCTGCCAGAATTTTATTGAGAATTTTTGCATCTATGTTCACTAGAGATATTGGTCTGAGGTTTTCTTTCTTTGACATGTCTTTGCCTGGTTTTGGAATCAGGGTGATATTGGTTGGCCTCATAGAGTGAGTTTGGAAGTGCCCCCTTTTTTTCTATTTCATGAAATAATTTGAAGAGTATTGGTATTAGCTCTTCTTTAAAGGTCTTGTAGAACTCAGCTGTGTATTCATCTGGTCCTGGGCTTTTCTTGGTTGGTAGGCTTCTGAGAGTGTCTTCTATTTCGTCACTTGAAATTGATCTGTTTAAATTGAGTATATCATTCTGATTCAGTTTGGGCACATCCCATGCTTATAGAAATTTGTTGATGCCTTTGATATTTTCTGTTTTATTGGAGTACAAATTTTCCAAAATAACTTCTAATTATCTTCTGCATTTCTGTAGTGTCTGTTGTGATATTTCCGTTTTCATTACATATTTTAGTAATTTGAGTTTTCTCTCTCCTTCTCTTTGTTAGCATGGCCAATGGTTTGTCAATTTTATTTATGTCTTCAAAGAACCAACTTTTAGTTTTGTCAATTTTTGCTATTGTTTATTTTATTTCAATTTCATTGATTTTAGCTCTGATATTAATTATTTCCTGTCTTCTGTTTTGGGGATTGATTTGTTCTTCTTTTTCTAGGGCTTTAAGATGTGGTGTTAGGTCATTTTTTTGGTTGACTTTTTATTTTTTTAATGAATGGGACTCAATGCAATAAACTTTCCTCTTATTACTGCTTTCATAGTATCACAGAGACTTTGATACATTGTATCAATGTTCTCATTCACCTCTAAGAATTTTAAAATTTCATCCTTGATTTCTTCTGTTATCCATTCATCATTAAGTTGTGTATTATTTAGTCTCCATTTGTTACAGTAGCTTCTATTTTTTATTTTGTCATTGATTTCCAATTTCATTCCATTTTGGTCTGATAGAATGCAAGGTATTATCTCTGTTTTTTTGTATTTTCTAAGAATTGCTTTGTGGCATAAGATATGGCCTATTTTAGAGAAGGAGTTCTGTCCTGCTGAGAATAAACTGTATTCATTCATTGATGAATGAAATATTCTATATATGTCTGTTAAATCTAAATTATTGATTGCATTATTTAGTTCTATAGTTTCCTTATTTAGTTTTTTTCTTTTTTAAATTAATTTTTATATGTTTTAATTAGTTATACATGACAGTAGAATGCACTTATATACTTTGATATACATAGATGGGATATAATTTCTCACTTTTCTGAGTATACATATTATAGAATCATATTGGTCATACAGTTACATATATACATAAAGTAATAGTGTCTGTTTCATTCTACTATCTTTCTTATCCCAAATCCCCTGCCTTCCCATCCTTTTACTTCTCTCTACCTAATCTAAGGAAACACTATTCTTTTTTGTTTTGCATTACAATTCTTTTTTAAAAAAATTGATTTTATTATTTTTTTAAAATATACAACAACAGTGGAATGCATTACAATTCTTATTACACATATAGAGCACAATTTTTCGTATCTCTGTATATAAAGTATGTTCACGTCTACTTATGCCATTAAACATGTACTTTTTTTTGCATTACAATTCTTAATACACATATATACCATAATTTTTGTTTTTGTTTGGAAGATCTGTCCAGTAGTCAGAGTGGTATGTTAAAGTCACCCAGTACTATTGTTCTATTTGATTCTTGAAATTGAAAAGGTTTTTTTTTTTTTAAATGTATATAGATGCTCCATTGTTTGGGGCATAAGTATTTATAATTGTTATATCCTGCTTATATATACTTCCCTTAAGAAGTATGAAATGTCTGTCTTTATCACTTCTGATTAACTTTGGTTTAAAGTCTACTTTATCTGAAATGAGAATGGAAACCCCTTCTTGTTTACACAATCCATGTGAGTGATAAGTTTTTTCCCATCCTTTGATCTTCAGCCTGTGGATATCTTTGCCCATGAGGTGAATCTCTTGAATCAGCATATTGTTGGGTTTTGCTTTTTAATCCAATCTGCTAGTCTGTGTCTTTTGATTGATGATTTTAGGCCATTAACATTCAAGGTTATTATTGAGATATTATTTGAATTCTCTGTCATTTTGATTTATTTCTGGTTTTCGATTTGTCTTAGTTTCTCATTTGGTTGAATGTCCCTTTAGTGTCAGTCCTCCCTTTGCTGGTTTTCACCTTTTTTTCACTTCATTCTCGTGGAATATTTTTTTGAGAATGTTCTGTAGTATAGACTTTCTAATTGTGAATTCTTTTAATTTTGTTAATCATGGAAGGTTTTAAATTCATCTTCAAATCTGAAACTTAATTTTGCTGGATATAAAATTCTTGGTTGGCATCTGTTTTCTTTTAGAGCTTGAAATATATTATTCTAGGATCTCCTAGCTTTGAAGGTCTGGGTTGAGAAATCAGGTGAGATATTTGCAAATTGGTTTCCCCCTATACATAATTTGATTTTTTTCTCTCACAGCCTTTAAGATTTTATCTTTATTCTCTGTGTTAGTCATTTTTATTATAATGTATCTTGGTGTGGGACTGCTGTAATTTTGTACATT